CCCCCCCCCCCCCGGGACCCAGGAATTCCACTTCTAGGTATGTCCCCCGGAGGAAAGGCAGACCCACACCCTGCCAAGCCCTTCAGCGTCCGCACTGACATGACTCCGGACAGCCAAGGAGACGGGCTCCCAAGTGTCCACCCTCAGAGAAGGATAAACCCGGTGCAGTCCCTCCACATGCCGGAATGTCATTCAGCCTTGACAAGAAAGGGCAGTCCGACCCCTGCCACACCACAAGCACACCTGGAAGACCCGCGCTCAGGGAGAGAAGCCAAACCCAGGGCCCATCCTGTGGGATCCCATTTACAGGGGCTCCCCAGAGGGTCTCATCCGTAGAGACAGGGCAGACCAGAGAGAACACGTGCCCTTGCGAAGACACCCGAGGGCAGCCGGGGGGCTCAGTTAAGTGTCTGCCTTCGGCTCAGGTCATGATCCCGGGGTCAGGGGACCAAGTCCTGTGTCAGGCGCCCTGCTCAGCGGGGAGCCTGCTTCTCCCTCTTCTTCTGCCCCTCCCTCTACTTATTCTCTCGCTTACTTTCAAATAAATAAAATCTTCAAACAAAGACACCCAAAGAGAGTACTAGCTTCGAGTCACCTGGGAAGGGACAGACCTTGGGGTCCACCACTCACACCTCTCCAGCTCTGGCCGCACGAGAAGATATTCAGGCCAACCTGCCTGAGCCCCACTTTCGACATCCCCAAAGGGCCTTTCTGTGGGTTCCCGGGCCTGTGGCAGAGAAACCGGGTACGGCACGTGGCTGAAGGACCAACATGAGCCCAGAGTCCTTGACCCTCACCTGCCACGAGGGGACAGAGAGCGCTGGCCTGGTGCGGTCCAGGCCCAAAGCAGGACACTCAGCCAAAAACCAGCTGGATTAGACTCGGAGGAACAGGTGTGCGGCCACTAGTTGCCACAGTGTGCCCCACACCGTGCACCACGTTCACACACATGTGAACCCATGATGGCTGAGCCGGGGTAGCAAGGCCCTGTGTTATGTAGGGGTATGGACAGGGGCTCCTGCCCAGAGGCCTGACATGGGTGCCCACCTGCCCCCAGGGCCCTTCCTCCCAGGGCCTGGGGTTCCCGAGCTCCCCCAGCCCCATCATCCCCACAGGGCCACACAGCAGGCCTCCTGCTTTGAGTGAAGCGGGGTTGAGGCCCTCCCTCTGGGGTATACCTAGGGGAGCAGCCACCCCCTTCTTGGCAATCGCCCTCCACCCTGCATGGACACTGTATGCCCCGGCAGAGGTACCTGGACTGGTCAGCCCATTTGTCACAGAGCAGAGTCCGGAAGTGAGCTGTGTCCCTCTAGCCTCCCTCACTTCTCTGGGGGCAAGGCCCCTTCCCATCCAGCTCCCAGTCCACCTACTGGCCTGCCCCAGTAGGAACCCCGTGTGCCGTCACCACAGGGACCACTCCTGGGCCGTGTGGCCACACGAGTTTGTGTCCAGGCTAGAGATGCCCACTCAGAGGACGGGGGTTCCCCCAGGGAACCTGAGCTCCAGGAGGCCAGCGACCACTGTGAGAACCAAGACTCCCCCCGGGGCGGGGGGTTGTGTCAGGGAAGGAAGAGGACAGGGACACAAAGAGCAGCGATACTGGCTCCGTTCTGCTAAGTTCTACCCTCCTGGGTACTCTGCCAGAGTTGGGCCAGTCAGCTGTCCTCTCTACCACACAGATGAAACAAGGGTGAGAGAGGCAGCTGACGGCCCCGGCCCGTGTGCGGAGTCACCCTGGCCCGCCCTGACTGGAGCTGACTGCCGCTGCCCAGGCAGTGAGCCCTGGGGGGCCCGGTGAAAGCCATGTTCAGTCCCAATGCTCAAGAGATGTCCTCCCCTGCTCTCCCCACGCAGGGCTGCTCAGGGACAGTGGGGCTCTGAGGGGCACGAGGGCTTCAGCAACAGTCACCCTGTGGGCTGCGGGCTCTAAACCTCTCAGCCCAGGTGAACTTGGTTCTGATGGAAACCAGAGCCCCCTATTCACAGAGCAAGGCCACCACGCTTGTGTCCCCAGGTGACTCCCCAGGAAGCTGGCGAGGCTGATGTGCTGCATGGACGGCAGGGCCCAAGAGAAACCAAAAGTGTCCGCAAGACGAGACAGACCACAGATGCTTTTATTTAAAAAACAAGACAAGTGGGGGGTGGGGGGGTATGATACCGGCCAGCCACAGGAGGTGGTGGGTGCGCTCATGCCCACCCCGGCACGGCTGGAGGGCAGCAGGGCCCCAGTGCCAAGCCCTGCACTCCGACGCCCCCTGACGCCCCCAGCCGCCCCCGTGAAAGGAGCAGCAGCACATGTGCTCTTGGCAGGAGCTGAAACCCAACTTCCAAGGAAGGCTACTTGGCAGTCGCCTTCCAAATTTAAAACGCACATCCTCTCCCATGCGGCGTCTCTGCTTCTAAGAACCCGCCCGTGATAGCCCCGTGTGTGCAAAGCCACGTGTACAAGGACGCTCGTGCAGGCTGCGTGTGGAGCAGAAGGCGAGGGCTGACGCAGTGGCGTGAGGCTCCTGTCCCCACCGGGGCACAGGGCAGCGGCCAGGGCAGCGGGAGGGCCAGCGGGCCCCAGGCACGTGAGTGCAGCTCCGAGCGAACAAGCTACTTTCGGAGGGAAAAGCCAGCGGCACAGGTCAGCGTGCGGAGAGGAAGAGGGGCTGCGGGACGGGAGAGGAAGGAGCCGTGCTTCCCCAGGCAAGCTCGCACTTCTTGGATTCCCACTGCGGCCCAGGGGCGGGGCGCGGCTGGCAGGGCACCCCGCGTTCAGCCGCCTTCACCGCACAATTGAGAACTTCCTAAGGAAACACCCGAGAGCCCGCGGCGATTCGTGTTAGCGAGCAGTCCGGAGCATGGACTGTCCACGGGCTGCAGCAGAAAGGGCCCCCTGCGCCCCCAGGCCGAGCCCAAGACAGAGCCGGAAGGCAGCAGTGAGCGCCCCCTTGGCCCCAAGCTCGCCCTGCTGACTGGCAGGCTGGCGTCCAGGTCACGTGAGGGGGGCCGGAGTCCTCAGCCACTCACTGCCACTGTCCCCTCCACTGGGTACTGCACTGGCAGACTTGCCCTCCCACCAAGCAAACCCTTAAGAAGGGGGTCTCCTCTTCTTCCAACGTGGCCCCCAGGATGAGGAGCCAGGAGACCCACCCCAGGCCACTGCCTCACACAAGCTTCCAACCCCCGAGCCCGCTCTTCTGGGAGACGGGCAGCGCCCCAGTCATCTCGGAGGACAACGATGAGGTTGCCATGCAGCGAAAGCTGGTCTGTACGGGTCAGAGGTCACCGAATACCCAGGGCTGCCCTCCCACACACTGGCCATGTTCCGCTGCTCGCCCATCCAGGGCCCCGATTCCCCCCCGCAGTCACGGAGCGGAGCCCAGCTCCTCTGCAGCCCCCCGCTAGCCCCAAGCTCTCCCAGCCCCGCCGTGTGCTGCTCACACGGCTTCCACCCACCGAGCACTCAGCAAAGATGCTCTCACTCCAGGTACCACC